ATGTTTCTGTTCACATATTCTTATCATAAGAAGAAACACCCACATTAAGGATACGAAATCAAACACCACCACTACAAAAAAACACACAAAAAAAATATTTATTACGTCCCTTTCTTCCCCGGAACGAAATCCTTCGCGCACTCGAAATACGAATCCGGTTTATACTCGAATAACACAAAATCATTCTCGTATTTCTCGGCCAGCTTCTGCATGAGCTCGAACGGCAACTGGGAGTAATAGGAGCACACGATCTCGGTGTTGGTCGCCCCCCCTGACGTCGGGTTGTCCCACCGCGGCTGCACCTCCGCCGTCCGGTTGAGGTACTCCAGGAACTGTTTGCCTTCTTCGTAGAGGGATTCGAACCTGTGGGGGGGGGGACGGCGGTCGTTAGGTTCGGTTGTGGGGACGGTGTGATGGTGGGGGGGGGAGGGTTTGGAAGGGGGGGGGAGGAGGAGAGGGAGAGGGAGAGGGAGAGGGAAGAGGGGAGTGAGAAGAGGAGGGAGAGAGAGAGAGAGAGGGAGAGGTAGATGGATAGATAGACAGATAGATAGATAGAGAGAGAGAGGTAGATAGATTGATAAATAGATAGATACATAGAGAGATTACAGTTCATAATATAAAGCACAATATCTATATCATTGAAAAACAATATCAATAATATTAGTAATCAAAATAACAAACATGACATAAGTGATAATGCTGATAACAACAATATTAACAATAACGGCCCCTGATACTCTAAAGCTTAAAGACACATATTTAAGACATTTTAAGCTTTCGTAGAGATCGAGAAAAAGACACGTTTTCACAATGCAAACGTACATACTCACACACTCTTTTCAACCCGCTAAGTCAGTCCCTTGCTTAACTCACCATTCTCATACATACTCACTTAGTCCACATCAAGTCATACATCTTATTAATATTTCTTTCTTTATTCTAGAACAATATTTCTATTCCATTCATTAAGTAGTTTGATTAAAAGCGATTGAGAAGCATATAAGGTGAAAAAAATAAGAAAAAATAATACAACATCACCCCGTCACTCAATACACACGCGCACACAAACACACACTTACACACAAACACAGCACACCGTCACTCAAACACACACACACAGAAACGCACACACACACACAGAAGCACAAACACACACACAAACACAAACACCGTCACTTAAACACACACACGCACACACACAGACACAAACACACACAGAAACACACCCTCACCCAAACACACACACAAAACACAAAAACACCCCCCCAAACACACCCCCACCCCCTCCCCACCCCCAGAACCCCCCCAAAACCTCAGAACGAAGTCGTAACCCATCAGCAAGGAGAACAGTGGCTGTGGTAAGTCCTCCAGTGCTCGTCGTCGTGTTTGCTGTCGATCACGTATCTGACGAACTCGAGGAAGGTCGGACCTACAGGACTCGCGAACGTATTCCCCTTCAGGACACCGGGAGTCCGGCCATCACCTTGTTCCGGACTTGCTCTTGGAGGAGGCCGAGCTGTTGATGAGGATGGGGGGGGGGGTGGTGGGGGTGAGGAGGAGGAGGAGGAGGGAGAGAAGAGGGTGGTGAGGGAGAGGGAGGGGAGGGAAGGAGGTTGGAGGAGAGGGAGAGGGATGGATGGAGGGAGGGGAGGGAGATGGAGGGAGGGAGGGGAGATGGAGAGGGATGGAGGGAGGAGGGAGGAGAGGGAGAGGGAGAGGAGAGGGAGAGGGAGAGGAGAGGGAGGGAGAGGAGAAGGAGAAGGAGAAGGAAAGGAGAAGGAGAAGGAGAAGGAGAAGGAGGAAGGAGAAGGAGAAGGAGGAGAAGGAGAAGGAGAAAGAGAAGAGAGAAGAAGAAAGAAGAAGAAGAAGAGAAGAAGAAGAAGAAAGAGAGAAGAAGAAGAAGAAGGAGAGAGAGAGAGAGAGAGAGACAGACAGACAGACAGACAGACAGACAGACAGACAGACAGACAGACAGACAGAGACAGACAGACAGACAGACAGAGAAGGGGAGAAGAATAAATTGTAATTAGAATAATTTTCATATCTTTAATTGTTATGTGAATTACCTCTTCGAATGAGAAATTCCCCTGAACAGTGTGTCATAAACTACCAAGGGATAGGTAAATTACAATAAAAAAACGGCTTATATTTTTATCTATGATGTGAATTAACTTTTAGGGTGAGAATATACTTCTAACAGTTGGTCTATAAGCTACTAAGCTCGTGGATTCTATGTTTCTCAAGCTATATGAACTTCGACATAAAAGTTATATCAATTTCTATAATTTTCGACCAATTCAGCTTTGCCTATTCTCTTGATAATCTATTTATCATTACTGATCTATTATAATCCGATTTTATCTACAACCCACAACACCTCATAGCCCACAACCTGTCCTAATAACCCACACCTTATCCTAACGACCCACAACACATCTTAATAACCTATACCTTATCCCAACAACCTCACACCCTATCCTAGCAACCTAGACCTTATCCTAACAACCCACACCTTTTTCCTAACGACCTCAGAACACATACACACAGCCCACACCTTATCCTAACAACCCACAATACACCTTCACAACCCCACCAAAGCATTCCTCACAATCCAACACTCTATCCTAACGACCAAAACCTTATCCCTAACAACCCACAACACACATCCTCACAACTCACAACACATCTCACAACTCACCAACACATCCTAACAACCCACAACACATCCTAACAACCCACACCTTATCCTAACAACCCAAAACCGTATCCTGACAACCTGCACTCTATCCTCCAAACCCACACCTTATCCTAACAACCCACACCTTATCCTAACAACCCACAACACATCCTCACAATCACAACACAAACAACCCACACAACATCCTAACAACCCACACCTTATCCTAACAACCACAACACAATCCTCACAACCCACACCTTATCCTAACACCTCACAACACATCCACACAGCCCACACCTTATCCTAAACAACCCACCGCTAACCCACACCTTATCCTAACAACCCAAACCTTAACAACCTACAACACATCCTAACAACCAACACCATATCCTAACAATCCACAAACACATCCTAAACAACCCACAAAACATCCTAAAAACCCACACCTTATCCTAACAACCCACACCTTCTAACCACCTCACACCTTATCCTCCCAACCCACAACACATCCTCACAACCCACACCCTATCCTAACAAACTCACAACCCACAACACATCCTCACAACCCACACCTTAACAACAACCCACACCTTACCCTCCCAACCCAAAACACAACCTCCACCCCACAAACACACACCCTCAGAACCACACTCCCTCACAACCACACTTAACCCTCCCAACCCACACCCCCAACAAACACACTTCACACACACACACCCTCTCACAAACCCACACCTTATCCTCCCAACCACACCCTATCCCTCACAACCCACACCCTATCCTAACAACCCAAACTTTATCCTCACAACCCACACCTTACCCTCCCAACCCACAACACATCCTCCCAACCCAAACCTTACCAACCCACACCCTAACCTCACAACCCACAACACACACCCTCAACAACCCACACCTTTATCCTAACAACCCACAACACACCCTCACAACCACACCTTACCTCACAACCCACAACACATCCTCCCAACCCACAACACACACCCTCACAACCCACCTGTCCCTCGGAGATGTACTTGGGGAACTCCCTGTAGCGGCGGACCATCTTCTCTCCGTATCGCTTGTAATAATAGGATTTCTTTCCGTACTCGAACTTGTCCCGGAAGCAGGAGAGGAGGCGCTCGAACGGGTGCCGGACGACCATGAACTTGGTCGTCCTCGGGCTACCTGGAGGAGGAGGAGGGAGAGAGAGAGAGAGTGAGTGAGCGGAGGGCGTGAGTCCAGGAATGAAGGGTCGATGGGGGGTTGGGGGTTGCTGCTGATGAGGGTCGACTGCGAGGGGGGGGGGAGTGAGCGGAGGGCGTGAGTCCAGGAAAGGAGGGTCGATGGGGGAGGAGGAGGAGGCGCTCGAACGGGTGCCGCACGACCATGAACTTGGTCGTCGCCTCCGGGCTACCTGGAGGAGGAGGGAGAAGGAGAGAGTGAGAGAGTGAGAGCGGATGGGCGTGAGTCCAGGAGGAAAGGAGGGTCGATGGAGGGGGAGAGGAGGAGGGAGAGAGAGAGAGGAGGGAGGAGAAAGGAGTCGATGGAGGGGAGGAGAGAGGAGGGAGAGAGAGAGAGAGAGGAGGGCGTGGAGTCCAGGAGGAAAGGAGGGAGGGTCGTGGGGGGTTGCTGCTGATGGAGGGGAGGAGGAAGGGGTGGAGGGGGTGGGGAGGTATTGGGGTCGTGAGGGGGTTTGCTGCTGAAGGAGGGTCGGTTGGGGGGGGTGGAGGGGGGGGGGGCGTGAGTCCAGGAAAGGAGGGTCGTGGGGGTTTTGCTGCTGATAGAGGGTCGATGGGGGAGGAAGGGGTGGAGGAAGGGGGAAGGGTGAACTTGGTCGTCCTCCGGGCTACCTGGAGGAGGAGGAGGAGGGAGAGAGAGCGGAGGGCGTGAGTCCAGGAGGAAGGAGGGTCGTGGGGGGTTTGCTGCTGATGGAGGGAGGAGAAGGTGGAGAAGGGGAAGGGTGGAGGGGTGGGGAGGTATTGGGGGTGGGGTGGTTTGCTGCTGATGGGGTCGATGGGGGGGAGGGGGAAGGGGTGGGGGAGGTATTTGGAGGGTGGGGGTATGGGGGGGGTGAGGTGGGATTGGGAGGACAGGAAATTGGAGAAGGTTGGAGGAGGTAGAGGGGGGAAGGGGAGGGAGGCGGAGGGAGGAGGGAGGGAATGAGAGAAGGAGGGAGGGAAAGAAAGTGAGAGGAGGAATAGAGAGAGAGAGAGAGAGAGAGAGAGAGAGAGAGAAGAGAGAGAGAGAGAGAGAGAGAGAGAGAGAGGAGAGAGAGAGAGAGAGAGAAGAGAGAAGAGAGACAGAAACAGACAGACAGACAGAC